TTTTTGGACTTAGCAAATTTTCCTTTCATTGAATATTTATAACCGAGAAAGCATAAAACATTGGCCTTTACCCTTTTCGAATCGACGCATTCTTAATTTCTCTAGCCTCTTGTATCAATATATGTGTTTTCATAAAAAGTGGACTTAGCTACTTTTCTCTCTAAGCTAGCGATATATAATATTTATATTTTTAATAAACGATGCACACGTATTAAATTGAAAACTTTAATTATTAAATTTCCTTAAATTCAAGGCATATTCAGTTCCTGTAAGATTAAAAAAATAGGCTTTCACCTTTTAACTTCCACTTTTCTATATTTGTTTACGCCGTATTGGAAAATTATAACCGGAACACATATAGACAAGTGTTGTAACAAACTATTTTTTTTTGTTATTTAATTTGTATTACTTGTTTTAATAGTTTATTCTGCACCTAAAATCGTACAAACTGTAGCTTCAAACCTTGTGCAACATTTAAACAAAATTCAACAAACTTTCGTAAAACTTCAAATTTTTTATCAGAATAATAAACGAATTATGTATGCAGTTTTGTAGCCCATTAAATTTTAGTACTTGAACTTTAAGTTTGATGTTTCTGAAAAACCCTTTAATTTTTGATATTTTTTTGCTAGCGGTGCTGTGCATTTTTATGTTTTATTAACAACACCAATCTAAACGTCGTCAAATTAGCGGCCTTCGCTATCGTTAGCGACAACAGCTGAATTGGCGCTAACGAATATTGTTAGGGAAACGTTTACTGAGTAGCTAAATTGTTAAAATTGTCGTTTAGCTGACTTAACAATAACAAGAGTTGTTAAAATCGCGTAGTGAATCGCACCACAGACTTCTACCACATTGTTGTAGATCTGCCACTTTTTTGAGCATCTACCACATCTACCACCCAAGCTCTGAAATCTACCACATATTCGCGTTTTGGGTAGTTTTATTTTTGCTAAATAAACATAATTTTCTTAATTTTAAGAGCAAAAATTGTCCAACACTAAACACTAACAACAGGCATAATGGGAGGATAAAATAAACTGTAAAAGAGTAAGTTTTCTCAATATTCAATTTTTCGACATCAAACGTAGTTTTATTGTGTTAAATTGCAAAATGTATGATTTATAAAAAGAATTAATAGCGAAAATGATATAAACCGGCGATTTTTGTGAAGGGATTGGCAAATTTCAGTGCATCTCAAATTTCTAAAGCGTTGTTTACTTTTACTTGAGAATTGTCAAAATCGGCAAATCCCAAGTAGCATTTCTGGAACGAGCCACATTTGTTCGCTACATCGTGATGTGATAAAAAGAAAAGCTGGCAGCACTCCGCAAGGTTGCAGAAATCTTTCAAAATATGGAACTAAGGAAAAAAATTGCCAAAACTCAACGCAATTTTTATCAACTTCAATCTTACACTTTATTATACTAAAATTAATTTTGTTTGAGATTCTAATTAAAATGTCTGCAATTTAGGTGAAACCTTGCAGTTTTTTTTAATTTTTGTACAAAGTTTGATCCAAAACCTGAGATCCACCACATTTTTTTGAAATCTACCACATTTTTGCCAGATTCTACCACACAAATTTTGTTTTTAAGTCCGATCACTGATTCGTTTGCCATTTCTTAAGACAAATTATCAATTTAAACATTGTTGTAAGCAGCGAAATGTCTTATCTTGAATCACATACATATATACGTATTTTTCACCGGGTAAACAGAAATAAAGTTACGAGCAAGTATACCTATGCGTCACCCTTTGAAAACGCGGTTTTTGACCTTAAGCCCAGATTTTGAGGGTGTATTTAAAATTCTGAGTATGCAGATTTTACTGCTTGAATAGACCTACAATAAGTGTGAACCTCGAAAAAACTATATAATTTTTTTTTTTGTCACACAGTTAAATTTCGATAATAATCTATATATCGTCGTTTAAAGTACAAAACCGCGTATCAACAAAATGCCATGACGCCTATGTGAGGTTGCATAAATTATTATTTAGATAAAAAACACTCATATTTCAAAATTGTTCTCTTTTTTATAAAGCAATCTGGATAGTATATTTCAGGACGAATGGATAAGGATTGAGCCAACAGCTTCTGTAAGCAAATCCAATTTTTGGCAGCAAATGTCAGTTATGCGATTTTAACGATACGCGGTTTTGTACTTTATACGACGATATGCATGTATGTATATGGGTATAGCCAGCAAAAACTGCGGAAAGAGATCCGAAAACTGTAAGAAAGGTGAATAGAACAGTGCCACGAAGGGATGTGCAACGAATTATTTTCCGGTTGGTTTTCTGAAATTTTTCATTCTGAACTTCACATGTGCTTTTTCATAGTTAGCTATACTCAGAAATTAATTATAATTTTATAAATAGTTTTTAATATGTTCGTCTGCCGGCATAAGAACCTGGGACCTCATGAAAGCTTACAAATAGTCGCACGCTTCTCTGCACACTCAGCTACTGTCGAATACGTATATGTACATGTTTTCAAATGTTCAGTTTGAGCAAATGTTTTAAAATTATTTTCAAATAACGTGATATTTTTCGGTAGTTTTCGGATACGAATATTTTAATAAATACTAAAATTTTACCAAAATTGGAAAATACAAAGGTTCACAAGCACGAAATGGCAATACCGCTCAAAAATATTTGTATATTTGTCACTNATATAAACCGGCGATTTTTGTGAAGGGATTGGCAAATTTCAGTGCATCTCAAATTTCTAAAGCGTTGTTTACTTTTACTTGAGAATTGTCAAAATCGGCAAATCCCAAGTAGCATTTCTGGAACGAGCCACATTTGTTCGCTACATCGTGATGTGATAAAAAGAAAAGCTGGCAGCACTCTGCAAGGTTGCAGAAATATTTCAAAATATGTTCNGCCACATTTGTTCGCTACATCGTGATGTGATAAAAAGAAAAGCTGGCAGCACTCCGCAAGGTTGCAGAAATCTTTCAAAATATGGAACTAAGGAAAAAAATTGCCAAAACTCAACGCAATTTTTATCAACTTCAATCTTACACTTTATTATACTAAAATTAATTTTGTTTGAGATTCTAATTAAAATGTCTGCAATTTAGGTGAAACCTTGCAGTTTTTTTTAATTTTTGTACAAAGTTTGATCCAAAACCTGAGATCCACCACATTTTTTTGAAATCTACCACATTTTTGCCAGATTCTACCACACAAATTTTGTTTTTAAGTCCGATCACTGATTCGTTTGCCATTTCTTAAGACAAATTATCAATTTAAACATTGTTGTAAGCAGCGAAATGTCTTATCTTGAATCACATACATATATACGTATTTTTCACCGGGTAAACAGAAATAAAGTTACGAGCAAGTATACCTATGCGTCACCCTTTGAAAACGCGGTTTTTGACCTTAAGCCCAGATTTTGAGGGTGTATTTAAAATTCTGAGTATGCAGATTTTACTGCTTGAATAGACCTACAANGGGTTGATTTTCATTTGCCACAAGAAGGCAAATATTTGGATTTTCTGATAAATGACAAATGTAATTTAGCGTTCACATGATTTGTGTATGAATTTGACAAATTTTTAGCCAAATGTACAAATCGTGTGATCCCAGCTTAATCTGCTTGCCTCATTTGCCTCGCTCGTCTGCTGCTGCAAATGAGTGCCTCGCTCGCAACGGCGCCCTCGCGAGGGCAGAGCTAATGAGGTCCTCGTTTGCTTGCCGCTCTACTCTTGCGCTGCCCTCGTTTGCTTACTCGCTCGGTAACTGCTCACCGCGTGCGCACGTACTAAACGAGTGCTCGTTTGCAAACAGCCTCGCCTGTTGCTCGTGAGTTGCGCAAGCTCAGAGCAAACTAACGAGCGAGCGAGGGGCTAAAATGAGGCAAATCCGAACCCTGCATGCATCCATACATATTCTTATTCTATTTACGTGTGTATATTTTTGGCTTCTTATTAATATTCTTATAATGGCGAATCAAACCATTTAAAAGAAATAAAAAATTTATATGTATTGTTTTTTATGCTTTTCTTTACTCTCAGTCTTCACCAGACGCCCACTTTTCTCATTAGTCAATCTTATCCCCACTAAGTTCCATTTATTAGATATAAAAAATAAACGCAATCATTATAATAAAATAACATACAGATACACCATTATACTGAAAAGTGTACGCTTGGAATATACTTCAACTACACGTATGCATGAATGTAATTTATATTTACNCTTAAATAAACGTATGCATGTATGTAATTCATATGTACAGACATACATATATATTACCACAATAATTCATATATTTGTGCATATTCCTACATTCCTTCCAATCGAAAAGCATTTGCTTGCATTACTTGCATATACATATGTACATACGTATGTATGCTGTATGCATAACAAAATGCATACCCAAAACAAACGCGAATATCTCCCATACAACGTCGTTGAAAATTTTTCACGATAAGTTTATCGCGATAAGCTGTTGTGAGTGATCGCGAATGGATTATTTGCATCGTTTTTGTCATTTATGAGAGGCCGAAATCGGCAATGCTTTTTTCGATCGCGAATGAAAAGCATCGGAAATTTTTTTGTCGATCGCATTCCGAATGTGAGAGATGATAAAATTGTTTGCATTTTTCACTCGCGGTAAAAGAATACAAAAATTGATTTGGAATATTATAGATCGCGAACGTGCGAGAATGTGAGTGAGAATTTTCGAACCCTGGTCACAACTCCATAAAGTTCCAAATTTAATAGCTTACATATTTCCGTAAATGTTAAACTTTATTCAAACTTAATTTTAATACTTCATATTTAATATGCTGGGCACTCGTAAACATTGCTCATAACACTTATGTTAAAAATTTATCAGAAAATCGATAAAATAATTTGCATGTCTACGTGAATAACTAAGGCGTAACTACATATGAATCCATAAAAACCCTAAAAATTTTTTTATGTACGATTTATAAAAATATTCCACATGCAATTCTTTTCAAAATTCATCAATTTCATAGAATGAAGACGTGAGACGTATTAATGGTCTTGCCACACCAATCAGAAAACTTACAAATATTTCATCAAGACCTCAGTATCGACATTTTATTCATGATGTGAGTAGACTTAGCGCCGAATTACATCTACTATCCTACTACTTCTACTTCTTGCTATTTCCAGCTTGTAGTAAAATTTGAAATTCGTATGAATATTTTGTTCGTAGTATTTTCACATATGGGTGTTTCCATGATGTCGGATGTGACATTCGTACGACTTAAATAGTTATAAAATAGAGTTAAATAAATCATATGAAAACGGAAGTTACTTATAAAAAAACGGCCGTCGTGTATCTTTTACGCCGTCTTTTGTTCACAAAAAAATTAGGTGCGCTTGGAACACTGGTGTCGGGAAAATCGATCCGTTATGACCGGACGTGACAAAAAAGGAAGTGGTTTTCAGAGTACATGTAAAAATAAGCAAAAATATGCGAATTCTTTCTTAAACATTCTTTAAATTAAGCCAAATTACGGAACATTACAATCAATTCACATTTAATCAGAAGCAATTCTTTGTTGGTTTTATTTTGAAATAAAATGTGATAATGGACGTGACAGATTATCCCTCATACTATATTTTTATTAATAACACATATGAGTGAAAGTTTCTCAAGTGGGCCACCTAAATTCGGACGGTCAAAATAATTTCACACAAATACAAAACAAGAAATATAATTTGAGCAATTTCGCAAAATTCGAAGTTTTACAAGAGTTATTGTTATTAACTTTTTTTTTACATGAATTCAGTAATTATTTACTTTCTACTGATTCATAGCGTGTATCTTTAGCCTGACTGTTCAAATACTCATTATTTGTAAAAATTTAGAAACTTTTTATAAACAATTTTTATAAAAAATTAAATATTTATTACTTATCGGCCAGATTTTTTAATCTTGGACACTGTATATGAATTTTTATTCTATTATACATTATTTGAAAAAAAAAAAAAACGGAAACTTGCACGAATTCGCTAGTTATTAATTATTTTCACTGCTGCCACGCCCCGTGGCTCACGGGTGCTTTTGCTTCACCACGATACTGCGGCGCGCTAACGCCAACAACGAATGATTCGAGGCGATAAAAAAAAAAATGATAATTTTACGACTACATGCAAGTTTCCGCTTTTTTAAATAATGTACTTTAGAATATTTTTTCTTTTAATAATGCCCGTTAGATTGATATTCAATGTAAAAGATTAAAAAGAAGTAAATATTTTTTATTTTTTTATAAAAATTATAATTTTTTTACAAATGACGAGTATTTGAACACTCAGGCTTAAGGGGGTCTAATTAACTGTTATCATGAACAAGTAATTTTTAAGCAAAAAACAAAACCGACTTCAATTGTCATATAAAAATTTAAGAGCACCGTTAATTTATTCATGATCCAATGATCGGATCTAAACGGGACCACCTCGGAGGTACCACCTTTCCTTTAAAAAAGGAATTATAGAAATCGGTTAACGTGGTCTAAAGTTATGCGGTAAGATACACAAAAAAATATTCCGACGAATTTATAACCTCCTTTTTTGAAGTCTTTTAAAAACAATCAGCAAGATACACGCTATGAGTCGGTAGAAAATGAATAATTACTGAATTCATGTACAAACAAGTTAATAACAATAACTCTTGTAAAACTTCGAATACTGCAAAATTGGTCAAATTGTATTTTTTGTTTATAGTTGTAAACCGAATAAGGTGATTTGTCCAAAAAAAAATTTGTCCGTCCAAATTTAGGTGGCCCACTTGAGAAATTTTCACTCATATAATTCAGTTCTTTATTTAATTTTTTTCCTTCCACCGTTTCGCGTTTTCATTTATTTGCATTTTCTGTTTACATTTTCATGGAAACACCCAAATCCAATTTAAAGTTTTCTAGAATATGTGTTTTCTTAACTCCGAATTTATTTCTGTTAAATGTTTTTTAGTAGTTTAGACTATGAAAATTTTAAAGCATGATGAATTAAAATATATTTTTAATTTTAATTTAGCTTACCTGGTTTGGGTCAAATCTAGTAATTGAAATTCCACCCCCTTCCTGTCGACCTATTGATCAAAAATTTGTTATACACCCTTAGTTCTGATGAAAATACAATTATGTATGTATATTCAGTATCATTGCAAAACCAATATGACCGCCGCCACAAAAGTGCGGACTATATGTGACCTGGTCTACGAAAAGGGAGCTTACGTGCGAAAACTAGTTTTCTGTGAAAAAGCTGTTAAAAGTAAGCAACTCGTTTCGTCAGTTTCTCATTATCTCGTTAATTGTTCTCCGCGCCGGACGTCCAGTAAGTGTTGTTGTTGNCCTTTCCGTAGACCAGGTCACATATATTTAAAAAAAAACCGCTCAATATGGGCTTACTAGTAGAATACAGTACACTATGAAAAAATGGCGAATTACATATTTTTTTAAATCCCCCCTATATTAAAGGGCGTTTAGAAAAAAATTCTTATTCAAAATGGCTCTCGAATGGAAATGGTGGATCCTAGAGTTTAAACAGTCAATACATGAATCTATCTAAACAAATGAAATGGTTTTATATTAAGAAATGATGAAAATAAAGTACCAAAAGTTAAAAAATATCATACATCGATTTTATTTTACCTTACCAATCTCCTAGATTGATTAGGAGAGTGGTATGATGATTGGTACTTACCTAATTATTTTTTAGCTTTTATGGGGTATTCACAGATGTCTGGTTATCAAGTTATCTGGTTAGGTGGTTATATTTTTAACCCAGTTTACAAAAACGAAATACACTAAACAGTAATAATTTTTAACCAGATAACACTTCAGTACTTTATCTGCATCATTATTATGATTCTTTACAATAAAACCGTTTAAGTTATTTTTTACATATTTTATATTCAAGTGTAATAATTTTTAGCTTTTAGTACTTTATCTGCATCATTATTATGATTCTAAACAATAAAACTGTTTAACTGTTCACCAAAGTAAGCAAGTGGCCTGGCAGTCTGTTAAAAGAGCAGCTCAGTTCAAGCAACGACGTTTGTCAACAGAAACTACTTTTTTTCTGGGGATTGGTAGAAATGTATTTTTTCAGACATGCTAATTTAAAAAGATTTTAAAAGAGAAATGGGAAAAGCCTCAAATCTGATGAAAGCCGATTTACGAATTTAAAAAAGAAAAAAGACACCCACAACGATATTGCTAAGGCTGTTTTTAAAGCTAATTATAACATTAACGGTAATGACAACTCCAACGGTAACGATATCTACAGTGCTAACGATATCAAATATAAAATGATAACGGTGCTGTACTTTACGTATACATACAGTATCGGTCATATGTATAGCACGCCATTTCAAAGTGATATTGTGTGCAACTTATGTTTATTTATGTATTTTTGAGAATTTTCAATTAAAATACAGTTCTTTCTCTAACAAACCCCATATAAAAACAAGTTTAACAATTTGTAGAAAACTTCAAAAAAGTGCAACAAATTTTCACCTAAATTTCAAACTTTTTTCTCAGAAGTGTTTGAATTTTTCTGAACACACAGTTTTATAGCCCAACCAATTTTAGTCTAATAATGTGCAAGCTTCAAGTTGCTAAAAGTTACCGTTGATTTTTTAGAATTTTTTTCGCCAAAGGTGTTGCGGATTTCTTCCATATACAAATAAATAGAGTTTATTCATTATATGGAAGCCAATGCGACAAAAAAAATTCTAAAAAATTAACGGTAAATCGTAGCCACTTAACATTTGCACATTACCAGACTAAAATTGCAGTGGCTAAAAAACTGCGTACTCGAAAAAATTCTAACACTTCCGAGAAAAAAGTTTGAAACTTAGGTGAAAATTTGTTGCACTTTTTTGAAGTTTTCTACAAATTGTTAAACTTGGGTTTATATGGGGTTTGTTAGAAAAAGAACTGTATTTTAATTGAAAATTCTTAAAAATAAATAAATAAATATAAGTGGCACACAATATCACTTTGAAATGGCGTGCTATAGATATGACCGATACTGTATATACAGTTTAGTAATATACATGGGTTTGTAAAATATGTTACGCCATTTGTACGTGTATTGTACTCAGATGATTGTAAGAATATGTAGAAAGGCACTAACTGACATTTTTTATTTTTTACAGAAGAAGCGAAAAGCTAAACACAATTCTGTGCATAATGCTTTTTTATTGGCACGTGTTGCCACAATATGATGTATGTTATCTATTTATTTTTTACTTCTAAAATTTAATCTGCTTTCTTTGAAAACCAGATGCCTGACCTATTTCTAGTTTGCTATTTCTCTTTATATTCTAGCTTATCGCATTGCTAGAAGTACATATCTTTGTCGCCAGCCAGATAACCCACAACACAGTAGCTTTTTTGCGTAAACAATGTAATTTTCTTCAAAATTCCTTTCTACAGGCTGATTCTCGCGGAACCTCCTCGGGCACTCCCTCGCTGTCGTCTAATTCTTTCATCTCAGCCATGTCGTCGCAAGAAGATGTTGCCCTTGTCAATTTGCACCAACAGGTGAATCGGCCAATCATCGATTCACCACTATTGATGGCAAGCTATCTAAATCATTTATCGCAGTTGAAATGCTTCAATTGGACCGCTTGCTCTTTTCCATCAGGACCAGATGTTTTCTCTACACCCCTATTTCACGAAAACGACGATGGCGGGCTGACCTATATAGGCAGCAAAATGGTGCCGCACTTTGACTTGTACGCTTGTTGGCGTGAAATCAAGGTGGTACCACGGTATGAAAATGCGACCGGCAGCAATAGCTCCGCCACATTTATAGGCGGTCCAAAGTCGCATCCATGGGATCCCAGCGTTTTACTTAAAGAAGAGGAGAGCGATAAGACGACAAATGGCTTCGACGATGGCGAATTTATGAGTTTGCAAGCAGAAGGGGCAGCTTGTACCTCAGTGGTAGCCCGTTTGAAGGGGCAGGTGAATGTATTTCTTACGCCACTGATGCTGGAAGGTTTGCAACGGTAAGTAGTCGAACCATTTAAAGTTTTTTCTTTATTTATAAATTGATTAATACATTTAAGAAGTCAAAAATTGTGTTAAAAAAATGTAAATTTCCGGTAGCATACCCATCCAGTAAAAATATTTGTTGGGGAAGATTAAAGTTAGCAAAACAGGTTTTATTGTAGATTTCGTAAACATTTGTTCCGCAATTTTTCTAAATAAAATAATGTATGTACTTATTTCTGAAAGGTATTTTTCTGTTATCAAACTATATCTCCTTTAATATTTCATAAAATTTAATGAATGATATATCATTTTGAAGGAGAGAAGCTCACGTACATGCGAAAAATAGTCGCGTTGCACAGTGCTGCCCTTCCATATAAAATATGGGCAAAAATAGAATTATGGACGGATATAAATGAAAATTTGCTTGTTAAAATTGAGGACGCTAAATTCAAAAATGCTATTTGTTTTTGGATACCTTTCATACTTTCACTGTAAATGCAGTTTGAAGTTGAAAATTTGGGTTCTTGTGGTTTTTAAATAGGTATGTACATATAGTTCGTTCTATTTTCAAACGTGATGTGTCCAATGACAGGGCTTGGCCTGTAGAGGTGCAATAAAGTTTTTTATTTTTGAAAAGGGTTGCCACCTGTTACAAATTTTAGTAAAATTATTTAATAAGTCAAATGAATTAGATATTACAATATGGGTATCAATTGAACTAGTTTTGAAAATACTTTACTTCTAAACGACACGTAGAAGGGTTGCCACATGTTTAAAAACTCAAATTCACTTTAATTAAGGGGATAAGGTAACTGAAATATGTATATCAATATGAGTATCGGAAAAATGAAAAAAATTTACATATCTAGAAAGAAATAAGTGAAGAGTAAAACCATTCCTGACTTAATTTAAAAGGAATGTCATCAGAACAAATCACTGATTGACAATGTATGTATTTGTAATAAAATAACAAATAAGATGGCGTAATCCTATGGTTTGACGTAATTATTATTTTAGTTCAACTAAATACGACTTTACAAACAGGTGGAACCCCTATTCGTAATATTTTTAAGCCAAAACCTTCCTAAACCTCTTTCGTCTGACTCCCTTATAGTGATACTTATCTCTTTCAGTTACCTAATTCCTTCAATTCAAGTGGAATTTGATTTTTTAAACAGGTGGCAACTCGCTGTATGTAGTTGATACACATTTCGATTGATACCCAGCTCTTAATAATTCATTTAACTTATAAAAAAATTGGAATCTAATATTTTAACAATCTAATTTTTTAACAGGTGGCAAAAAATAAACCTTCTATTGTCCACAGGTCAAGCTTTGTAATCTGACACTTCATTTTGAAAATGGAACGAATCGTGCAGATCTCAAGGCACTGAAAAAAATGAAAAAATTATTGTATGCATTAGGGAAAAACGCCTCACTTCAGAAAGTGCAAAAAATGAGCAGGTTTTTATTTCTTCTTTTGAAAGCTAAAAGCCCGTACTATTTAAGAAAATAATAAAAAATAACCTATTGTTTACACGACCTATGCATTTCCCGCATAAACAAAGAACAGCGAACGCCCACACGCATTTATATTGCATTTCCTGCCCAAAACCAAGTGCAGCGAACAAACACACGCACTTGTGTTTAAAATTAATTCGCTCGTTCTTAATTGGGTATGCATTTTTTCTGCAATTCTCAAATATCTCTTCGCTGAACTTAGTGACGTGATAAGTCGCTGGCATTTTCAGCTATGGTCAACGCTTAACCAGCTTGGCTATCACACGGTGCTTTAAGCATCGCTCCCACTCCACTCCCGGAGTAATTTTTGGTATGGTAGTAAGCTACGGCTTACATGCCACACTGAGCCTCTGCATGAATGCATCCCTGAATAAATCCCAGTTCATTGCACAGCAGCCTACGGCAGCTAGAGCATGACTCCTCCAGTGGAGTCGCCCAATTGATACATGGTAAAAGGGTCACAGCTTGCGCTACCGCTTCATCAGCCTGCCCGCATATCTCACTCACTCTCTCTCTCTCTCGCATAGCAGGCATATGGAGTGCGTGGTTGGCTTGATGTGCACCTATATACCATACGGGCTCATTGAGCTTGATAAATAACCACTTGCAAGGGTAATCCCTACCTCCTCTACTACTCTAACTCGACCACAACTCTTAACCTGGTCTCCCGCTCTCCTTCAGCTAAACACCTATTTTTACATATATGTTTTTCATTAATTCTAATAAAATTTAGCATTTTTTGAAATTTTGTTTAAAAAAATTGTTTTTTTCTGGAATACCGCAGGGACACCCTGTGTTTAAGTTTATTCCAAAATTTTAATTCCTGTAATTCTCTACTATCTATATGGGAACAAGAAACGTCAAACCAACATTTTATTTCAAAGAATATATTTTTTTATATTTTTTTCTTTGAAGAGCTTACGCATAGCTATGCTCTTATTAAAATTCTTAATATAAAATTTGTAGACTTTAGTGGCTTCCTGGCGGCATATAATTAATTTTTTAGGGAAATGTGTGTTTAATTCTTTTTAGTGGATAAATTGTCTTTACAAAAATACCAAACAAGTTCACATTGCAGATAACGAATTTATCNTCCTGCCCAAAACCAAGTGCAGCGAACAAACACACGCACTTGTGTTTAAAATTAATTCGCTCGTTCTTAATTGGGTATGCATTTTTTCTGCAATTCTCAAATATCTCTTCGCTGAACTTAGTGACGTGATAAGTCGCTGGCATTTTCAGCTATGGTCAACGCTTAACCAGCTTGGCTATCACACGGTGCTTTAAGCATCGCTCCCACTCCACTCCCGGAGTAATTTTTGGTATGGTAGTAAGCTACGGCTTACATGCCACACTGAGCCTCTGCATGAATGCATCCCTGAATAAATCCCAGTTCATTGCACAGCAGCCTACGGCAGCTAGAGCATGACTCCTCCAATGGAGTCCCCCAATTGATACATGGTAAAAGGGTCACAGCTTGCGCTACCGCTTCATCAGCCTGCCCGCATATCTCACTCACTCTCTCTCTCTCTCGCATAGCAGGCATATGGAGTGCGTGGTTGGCTTGATGTGCACCTATATACCATACGGGCTCATTGAGCTTGATAAATAACCACTTGCAAGGGTAATCCCTACCTCCTCTACTACTCTAACTCGACCACAACTCTTAACCTGGTCTCCCGCTCTCCTTCAGCTAAACACCTATTTTTACATATATGTTTTTCATTAATTCTAATAAAATTTAGCATTTTTTGAAATTTTGTTTAAAAAAATTGTTTTTTTCTGGAATACCGCAGGGACACCCTGTGTTTAAGTTTATTCCAAAATTTTAATTCCTGTAATTCTCTACTATCTATATGGGAACAAGAAACGTCAAACCAACATTTTATTTCAAAGAATATATTTTTTTATATTTTTTTCTTTGAAGAGCTTACGCATAGCTATGCTCTTATTAAAATTCTTAATATAAAATTTGTAGACTTTAGTGGCTTCCTGGCGGCATATAATTAATTTTTTAGGGAAATGTGTGTTTAATTCTTTTTAGTGGATAAATTGTCTTTACAAAAATACCAAACAAGTTCACATTGCAGATAACGAATTTATCGATTTTTGCCTACTTAGGCGGCACTGTGCGTTGTTGATATTTAGTTATTTATTAAAAAAAAAAGGTTTTAAAAAGCTAAAATCACTGTATCTGTATCCGGGCAATAAAGCGCCATATCTTCCATAATACTCCATAAAATTGAATGATTAAGACACCATTTTGAATTACAGCTTCACCGGTTGAGGTAAAAAAATAACAACTATTTAATAGGGTTGCCACCTGCTTAAAATTTTATTGACTTAAATATATATCGAGTAAAACATTGCAACGCATTCATGGAGTGAAAGGAAAGAGGGTTGTCAACTATTTAAACATTTTAATCTCTATATATGTATATGTATACAAATTTTATTTGTAGTAAATTATAAAAGTAAAATATTGCCGACATTAAAGCGCTACTTTTAATGTTTTTATTAACCTTTCTTTGACTTCATGTTAGACCCTATCGCTTGTAACATTTGGGGTTGACATTGAGAAAGTTATAAAATTCCAGGCATGTCATTTTGGTATTGTACCTTACGTACATAATGCACCTTAATATTTAAATTTGTAATTGTGACTTATCATCGGACCAGATATCTTTGACCAAAGAAAAAATTCTCTCGACCGCAGCTAATGTGGATATCTAGAGAAATCTTTCAGAAACAATGCTAAAGGTGTATTAATAATGTGACCAACCGTACTTCTTTCGGAAATATAGTACTTCTTTTTTCGCTATTGTACTTTGTACTTCGAAGTACAGTCAAATACTTCTTTGCGATATTTTGTACTTCTCCGATCTTCTGGATGATCGTCACATGGCCTGGGCGATAAATTCTTTCAAACCATTAACAATTTCGCCTACTTAATAAGCCTTACCTACCTCTCACTTCGTGACAGAACTGTCGCGGCGGAGTGGGGGTCGTCTGCACTCAGTGCAGAGTCAATAAGAGCACTCCACAAGGTGGTGTTCCCTCTCCCCTGCTCTAGATTGCGGTTGTAAACCACCTTCTAGAGGAACTGGGAAAAGTGGGCTGTCGGGTGATCGCCTCTGTAGACGATGGGGAACTTTAGGTTAAGGTACGATTTCTGTACACCCTTTTTGATCTGACTCAATGTTACCCGAATCAGGTAACTAGGTGGGCAATCAACGGCGGCTGTCGCAGAATCCTAATATTGTGGAAAGGGTAGGAAAGGTGTCGGTTGCCTTGTGCTTCTGTAGGGGAGCTATCGGTAAAAGGTGGGGTCTAATTCATTAGCTCTAGCATGTGAGGACCCAAATCCAGGGGCTTTGGAGTCCCCACAACATTATTTATTTTTTTTTATGAAGTATTATCTTGAGTTAATTATAATAATTAAATAAATTGAATTGTTTAAATTGAATTGTATCAGATTTACTTATATAAATTG